CTCCTTATTTTGAGTTTGTACTTCCTGTGTCAAAGTAGTAAGTAACTTAACAACTTGATCATTGTCCAAAAACATACCTGAGGTTGTTGGGGCGGATTGCACTTGGTTTTGATTAGGGACGAATGGCTTTGTATAAAAGCCCGGTGGTTGCTGCCTAAATCCTCCTTGGGGTTGTTGACCTTGTTGGGGGTCTCGCCATTTGAAATTCGGATGATCATGCCAACCGGGATTGTAAGTATTAGAAAACGGATCCCCACGTGATTGGTATTGGTTGCCATATCCCACGGCATTGAGTGTTTCCCACCCTCCATTCTCGATCAATTGTGGGCACATGTCCGTAGGGTGTCCTTGCATGGAGCATACGCCACAGGAAGCTACGGTTTTAACTTTTGGACCTTCCACCACCTGAGAAATCAACGTAGTAAGGTTAGCCATTTGATTTTGAAGTTCGGTTATGGCACTTACCTCATTGACTTGGTGTTGCCGTGGGGGGTCTCTTTGCCCAACACCTTCATATTGTTGTGCATTATGTGCTCGGTTGGCAATTAGAACTTTTGCAGCCCCCGGAGTTTTATCCACCAATGCACCTCCCGCCGAGGCATCAAGCATTTGGCGTTCCATGGGAAGGAGTCATTCGTAGAAGTACTGAATGAGTAGCTCCTCCTTCATTTGATGCTGTGGACAAGAAGCAACAAGTGATTTAAAACGTTCGTAATAAGAAGGAAACGATTCACCTTGATTTTGTTGGATGCCACTAATCCGTTTCCTCAAGAGAATGATTCTTGAAGTTGGGAAAAACTTCTCCAAGAAAGCTCTTTTCATACTATCCCAAGATGTAACCGTTCCGGGTGCTAATTCGAAAAGCCAATCCTTCGCTTTTTCCAAAAGTGAGAATGGAAAAGCCTTCATCATCAGAATGTTCCCGTCGACATTTATGGGTGTCATGCTTGAACAAACAACCTTGAACTCCTTGAGATGCTTGTTGGGATCTTCCATGGAAAGCCCATGGTATTTCGGAATGCGGTGCAACAAGCTTGACTTCAACTCGAATTCATCGGTCTTGCCTTGGGCAGCCGCGGGGTATTGAATGCATAATGGTGCGGCATTGGCCAATCCCGAAGCGGAAAGCTCCTTAATTGTTCGGTTGTCTGCTGCCATGTCTTCTTCACCCACTGTTATCTTGGGTTCTTCTTCAGATTCAGAAACGGACTCGGAGCTTTCACTTGATTCGCTTGATTCTGAGTTCTTTCTCTTTCGTCTCAATTCTCGCTCGAAATCGGCGTTAAAGCTCGAGATATGTTCACGAATCGGATGAGAACTCCGAGTCATAAACTAGTACCTAAAACAAGAAACAAAACAAGATTAAGAATCTGGAATAAAATAAAAACAAAAGAAAATAAAACAATCCAAGAGATTAGCAAAGTTGCTAATCCCCGGCAACGGCGCCAAAATTTGATGCGTGAAATTATACGCGCACAAATTAAACCCTCTTTTTTTTGTCAATTGTAGTAAGTACGTAAGTAGGGATCGTTCTGGACCGGGGATTAGGAGGGATTATTAATCACTTGGATTTGACTTCAAAAACGTAAAAACAAGTTTAAAACACTATTTGATGCGAAGAATGCAAAACTAAAAATAAGAAAGATTAAGACTAAGACTGTAAACAAAATATGGGGGGGGGGGATTTAGGTTTGGATGAGATTAAACTAAAATGGATAGATTGCAAAGAAAACAAATTGTAAATACGAATTTGACGGAAATGAATGGATGGGAAGCTAGCTAAGGGGTTCATCTCCACACATGTTATACTTGCATACAAAACGATTTCTAATTGCTTTTCAATGAACCATGAATTCTCAACACCCCGGGTTAATTAGGTCCGCTTAAATTAACCGTCAAGTTTTCCTTAAGTTAATGAATTGGATGATTGCATACGACAACCCAAAGCATTCCTCACAAGTTCCCTACATAATTGCATAATAGAGATACAAGCAAGAATCATTAAGCATCATGAAAACTATAAGTGTTGACGAGGCATTCGTTACTATGATTGCATGAAACTTATGCCAAGAATTTGTTTAACGCGAGTGTTTATAAGCAACCTCCACTACTTGTGAATATAAGTTCATAACTATTACGTGAAACTCACTTATATTCTAGCGTCATATTCATGCATGAAAATTAAGTGTGCACTCTCAATAAACATACATAAATAGGTTATCAATCAAATAGTTAAACAAATTGAATTCACAACTTATGAAACGCAATTAGAAGTAATCAAATCATATTGCAAGCATAAACATGTATTTCGAATCCCCCCCTAGCCAAGGGGGGTTTAGTTCCTCATACGTACAAGACAAAGAGAATTGAAATTAAACATTGGAATCGAGGAAAAGCAACACCTAAAAATTCCAACAACTCAAACTTGAATTGTATGAACGTTTAGGCACTCTTCTCCTCCTCTTCGTTGTAGCATAAGGTCTAAGGGACGTTGTTGGTGTGTTGAATGGATTGGGTAGTGTTTTAAGGGGATGGGGAGTGATGGAAATGAAAGGAAGGCCACGGCAAAAGGGAAGGGAGAATGTGTTTTGTGTTGTGAAGGTGGAGAGTGAATTGTGGTTGATGGAATGAATGAATTGTGGCTGCAATGGATGCTTATTTATAGGTAAATAAGAGGGAACATGATAGCTAGGAAGTGGGTGGAAATGTGGCTGCAATGTTAGTGAATGATTATGAGTGAATGCATGTGGATGTGGCTAGGTTGGAAAGCTGGAATTGTGATGGGAATGCACGGCAAGGGTGTGTTTGTGTGTATGTGGCTGATTTGTTTGTTGGTTAAAGATGCATGTGGATGAATTATATAATGGGAAAGTATGTGATTGACAACTAGGGTGAATGGTGGCTGCAATGATGAAGTGTGATGGCTGAAAAATGGCAAAGGAAACTCACGGCAAAGGAGTGTGTTTGTGTGGCTATTATGTGTTGTGAATTATGATGAATGCATGTGAGTGCAATATGAAAAGAATGACTAATTAATGTATGTAGGGTGCAGCTAGGTTGGAAAGGTGTGGATTGTGGCTGCAATTTAGGGAAAGGAAATAGGTTTAATGCATAAATAAAAGGGCAAAGTGGCTACAATGATGAAGACAAGCTGGAATTGATGTGGAAGGCACGGCATGGGTGTGTTTTTGGTGCATGTGGCTGCAATGTTGTGCAATGATGGAGGAATAAGTGCATGTGGTTGAATTGGTGGTGAATGTGCATGGCAAAGAATGGATTTGGCTGCAATGGTGTGTGATTGGGCTAGGGTTTAAGTGCATGAAATGGACCCAAATTGCTCCCCCTTGCATGGCAAGGAATGGTGTTTGTGTTAAGCCCATGGCAAGTTGAATGTAATTGGGTTAGGGCCATTGTTTTGTGTCCTCAAGTGCATACAAGGCCTTCAATTTCATCCAACACTTGGGCTCCAAGCATAAGCTATCCATCCTTAGCCCAATAGTGCTCCAAAAGGCCCCAAAACACTCCACAATGCATCCTTTCGTCTAACACGTCTTATGATCCTGAAAACACACAAAAGAAGCATAAAGGACTAATTAACTAAAGAAACATAACGTAAATGTACGAGAACAAGCCATTTAAGTCGCATGAATATGCTCTTATCAAAATTATCTGAGTTAAATCGCTTGTAGTTCTCTTATTTAGAAGTTATGTCTAACTCAGGGGGAGTATCTAGAAGCATACTTACATGATCTTAATGTACTCTTTTTCCTACGATTAGGAGCATTTTTCCCATTAGGTTTTTGCTACCTAACGAGGTTTTAATGAGGCACCCATCTTGGGATGATCATACTCCGTTGAGTTTACTACCTTCGTCCAGTTTGACGTTCGTTTTTAGACATTATGCATACTTCTCACTTTTCTCCTTAGTCTATGGGTTTTCCCCATGCTTTGGGTTTTACCATAGCGAGGTTTTGTGAGTTTTACTACAAATGCATACTTCACTTAAATTTGAGACTCGCGATCACCCGTTGTGCCAATGACTTCATCAACTATTCTACCTTATCTGTTGAAGAACTGATGCGATAGTTTGTTGAGTATTTACACACTCAAGGGGGAGTGTTGTAGTCATATTTATAATAGGAATGTGATTGTGTAAATCCTAGGGAATTTGGGAATGTATCTTATATTCCTATTAGGAGTAGATTACCTATTCAATGTTGTAATCCTAAAGGGAAAGGTTTTTACCTATCCTACTACTATAAATAAAGGCACAATGAGGTGACTCAAATATACCTCACAATTAAATCAATCTCTCTTCTCTCTCAATATTGCCGAACCCCTCTCTCTCTCTAAACCCTAGATCATTCAATCAAATAGGCCTACAAGACTAACCATGTTCTTTCACTTTACACTACATTTCAATATTTTCAAAAACTTTTAGTCATTCTTTTATTATTATCCGAAATTAAAAATAAAGTTACCTTTTATTATTTTATAAAATAAAAAATAACAATATTTTAATACGAAATGTGTGGGTTATTCAGTTTAGGAGTGAATATGCACTTATGCAGTTAGTAATTACTGCAGACAGTTACTGTTCATTTAAGAGGATTGAGTTGCCTATTGACCAGGGTGGCCTAGCAACGGTGGAACTGCTCTTAAGTTCCACTGCTGAAGCAATTTGTACTGTCAAGCAGCTGTTACAAACATTGTGAGCAGCTGCCTCAAACATATCGAACAGTCGTCATAAAAACCCAAATGTAAGCCCGCGTAACATGGACGTTTTAAATTTGTAAGGCTTGGCTTGAGACATGCTTAATTTAAGCGGTGCGGGGTTTGTAGTTGTTTATGCGATTTTTGTCCGCTTTAGTTTTGTATCTTGAGTAAAACCCGCCAGTTTAAACGAATTGAAACCATCAAAAGCATACTTACGTTCCGACGTTGCTTTTCATTCAAGCACTAGTACGTACCTGCATTTCTTTTGATGCATAAACAGTTGAGCGCGGTGGAAAATACAAAGTAATCACACGTATTAAATGTAAATGGTAATCCACAACAATGTATATGTACATTGCAGTTTTAATTACAAATGCAAATTTACCCTCCCTCAATAGAACACATTGTTACAGGCAACAATGTATATGAACATTATTCGACTCGTGTCTTTCGTATAAATTATTCCTTGATTCCCACCCGATTCTCAACTTCAGGTGGCAGGAAAAATGGAACAATTTACACATATTGATTTGGATACCTCAGTAGCCAAGCAAGCATGTCCTGAAATTGATAATGAAGATACTCCAGAGTCCCGAATAATGTTATCATACAAACAAAGGACGACATTATTTTCGTGAACCTCGTTTACCTGCAGGTATGGCCAGCCCAAGCTCCTTACATTGTTCCTCATCTGGTTGCAAACTCTTCGGGATTGCACCGAATATCTTTCTTGTTGTTTCAAAACCAGAAGCCATATGATGCACATATGCCGATGCATCCTCCACACTACTCCAAAGGCCTAATGAGGTAGACATAAATCTTTTCGAATTACTTTTTGACGGTTTCCTTGTAAATGCCTGGTCTAGCTCAGCAACCCGTAGAAATCTTTCCGTGGCAGCTTCCCATGACAGCTCATGCCTCTGTGCATCGGTCACCTGGGCAGGCTCTTCAGCAAGCGCCTGCTGTGTGACCTTAACAAACCCATCAGCATTGTCATATGTGCGGCAATTCGGGAACTGCTTGAAGAATTCGTTTGAGGGGTGATTGGCACATACAACGATTTTACCCATTGCCAATGCTTCTGCCGTTGTTGTGCAAAGCACATCCGTTGTGCTTGGATTGAGGAATACTTTATAACTGAGAGAGTACCAGGATAATATGTCAATATCCAACCAGGCCGATCATCTCTATGAAAGAAAATCTCAAGTGAATAGAGGTATATTTGGAAGGAGTTGGTAATAAAACTACCCTTGACCAGCCCTTGATAGAGACTAATTGAATTTTCAACCCCGGAAAACTAGCGTACTTGTATAAACAGAAATCAGTGTATCATCAAAAGATTGGTGGTATAATGCGATGTTGGACAATTAGTGAATGTCATTAAAAATTTGGACAAAATGAATTTGATCTTATGATGAAGCTGGACAGATAGGTAGAAGCTTACTCATGAAATTGAAGATCAGCATGATCACGACCAGGGTGGACTCGAACGGCCAGTTCCAATCTTTTGGCAGCTTCCTGAACTTGATCAGAGTCCTCCCCGTTTCCATATAAATCAACTTCAAGTCCAGTTAATTCCTTTTGATGATCCTGAAAAAGCTTGAGTAGCTCCTTATAGCCTTTGCTCCATACCATCTTCCCAATGTAATAGGCACCTTTGGTGAAGGCCTGGACTCCATTTCGTTGTTGCTCTAGCTTTTTCTTGCCTATCTCCAGAAATTTTGGGTTGACTCCGTGAACATTGCAAACAATGGATTTAGGATAATCCTGGGTGGCGGCAGATAACCGGATTACCTACAATACGTCATAGTTGAGATCTGGTTAGCATGTATAGCAAGACGATGACAATGATATCCGCATTCATCTCTCTCAAACTTCTTCATCGTCAATCATAAGAAGAGTTATAAAAAGTGTCCAACAAACTACCAGTACAGCTTTGTTGTCATACAGTAACAACTCGAAGAGCATATTTCACCAAGTCTAATGCAAAAGCTAGAAGAGGCTAGATAAAATAAGTGATGGAAAGCAAAAGATATATTACTAGAAAACTAATATTTATCAAGATGTACCTTGTGACAATATATTCCGACAACCCAATTATTTAGATATTTAAGAAGAAATGCTTGCATTCTTCCATTCCTCTCCCTTCTCACATATTCCAAATAATTGGTGTGGATGATTCCGACAACCAGCCGGAATTTAATCTTCCATCTCTTCCCATGATGAAACCATGTAAGGTGCTCAGGCTCCTCAAGGATGGCAACATCTGCATTTTCGTCAGGGACTACTTCTGAAATATCTCCAGCAGCAAGGATGCTCCTTTTATCTAAGGAAAACTGCAACAGAATTGACGTAACAAGTTGGTACTACTACACAAGGAATGGAAACAAAAACAGCACACATCCTTGAAGGTACGAAGGGAAGAAAAAATGAGAATATTGGATAGGGCACTGGGGTAGATGGCTCAACCTGGATGTCCACCAGGTGGACTCACGCCACGGGCTTCCATCAACAGATAGGCTAAAAGTTGTAAATTCAGAATTTATTGGACTGAACAGAACAGGAAAGACCCAAAACGGAAATTAAATAAATGACACTCTACGCATCCTACCCTTGAAAGGCATATAAAGCTATTCCCTTGATATAATGAAACTCTTGACTAGCAAGTAAACTGGTTTGTGTGTACAGTGGTAATTGTATTAAATCTGCCGGTGTATGTACCTTTGCAGGATAAAAAAGTATACTAAAATCAGATTTAAATCCAATCCTCTCGTCAAGCCAGCGACGGACATAAGCCTCCTGCTCCGTAGGTCTGCTGAATGTGATGTTGTTGGGATATACTAGTTTTTGATCTTTCAACGATAACCAAGGGATGACCAAAGAGACAAGTCTCTCCCCATCTTTTGCAAGATAGGCTGCACGGAATAGAGGGTTGACAGCAGTGCCGGTCATCCATGGAAGGCTTGCAGTGGTGAATATCGCAAAATGCCGCTTTTTATTCATCCAATCAACAGAAACGCATGCAAAAAGCAATCAGCTATGTGTACTACTACGGTACCCTCTCACAATTTGGATCAAACAGATTGGGAACACAAGGAACCTCAATAAACTGCAGTAAGTAACAAAAAGGAACCGTCAAACTATATAACGAACTATGACCGTTGCAACATATTAAAATTGAAGCAGCCTAAGTAATTAAACACAATTTATATCAAATGCACACATAAGCAAATAATAACGTTATAGAACTACAATTTGTAGACACTTCCCTGCGAATTCGATACTAATTAATTAGGACTAGTTAAATGATTCTTTTGCACGCGGAAGGGACAATTAAAATCATGAGTAACTTAATTTAACTCCAATTTTGTGAGTCATTATTAGGTTTAGTCTATTTTGTTGAGTTAGGCCCTTTTACTGATCATCCACATCAATTTCTTTTTATTATAAAAAATTGTGATAAATGTCATTCTTTATTTATAGTTTATCCTTATACTTAAATTTAGGATTAAATATAATAATTAAATATTGTTTCCCCTTTTTCTTGCACCTAATTTGTATCTCATTTTTTTCTTATACTCCATCACAGATTATATGTGTTAACTAATCTATGTTGCAGTCTTGTAGATACTATATATATATATATATATATATATATTTCTCTCTTTTTTTTCTTTTTTTATTTATTTATGAAGATATATCAACATATATACTAGTATGCATTTATAATGCATCAACGATTAAAAAAATTTGACCTATTTGTCATGAATGATAGGTAGGCGAATTTTTATTCATCTTTGTACATATCTTGATTACAAGTTAAATGTATTTTATCAACTTATGATATAGGTATCATATATGATGACATATAAATTTTCTTTTAATTATTTTCCTTGAAAGTGGTTAAATTTTTATATTTAAATATTCAAATTAAAAATTTGACTAAACATGCATAAATCAAGAAATTTAATTAAAATTGAAATATAGAAAAATTGGACTAAATCCAACAACAGCTCAAATTCTTGAATTCTTGGACCTGATCAAAGTAACTCATTAAACATTGATTAAAACTAAGATTTACAGTTAATTGTTAATTAAATTTCCACAGATTGATAAAATTATACAAAAATTCGGCGATATACCCAAATTTTAAAGATCCAATACGTGTAAAAGCTATCTAATACACCTCATCCTTTATAATATCGATTTACACTTAAAATGCATATCGAAGCGACCTAATTCGAACGATACAGCACAAACAGACATACAAATTGCATATATTAAATCCGTAAAAAGTAAATAAATTCAAAAGTTTCTGAGAAAACAGTACCTTACGAATTTTCCGGAAAAAAAAAAAAAAAGGAAGAATTGAAGCTCAGGTTTTGAAGGAATTTCAGGCACAGAGAGCGAGAGAGGAAGAGGAAAGATGGTTGCCTGGTTGGCTACGTTAAGTGGAGGAGGAGGAGAGCGAATAAACGTTTTCCGTCTGTGGAATTTTACGTAGTTTGTTTGGGCGGATAGTCTGGTTATACGATGTCGTAAAGGGTAGCTTTCACCGTTTGACCTTGGGAGATTACGAGGCCAAGCCACCACCTTCAGTCCGGACGTTAACGTTAACTGCGAAGAACCGTTGAACCTCGTAGTCATAAAGCATTTGGTGCCATTTTTATATTGATTTTAACAGCTACAAGGTTCCTTTCTTTTTAGGAGTTTTCTTTCTTTTTTTTTTTCTTTTTTTTTTTTCTGACAGTGTTTTTTTTTTTTTTTTTTCTCAATGAGAATGCATTTTAAATTCAAGAGGGTCCAAATAGAAAGAGTAAATAAGAAACAAGCATCAGTCCAAAACCCAGTCTGGAATCCAATAACACATTTAGAAACTCAGAAAAAGGAAAAATAGGTGGTTTTTATGTACCATTCTCAACTTAAGGTATAAGAAGATTGGCCGAACTAACTCATTTTTATTAATAGACGAGTAATTGATGGAATTACAAATGGAGTCAGTATTGCGAGTTTATTTTGTAGGAGAGGGTAGGGGTGGATTTTTTTGCCAAATTGTCATGCCAACCAAATTGTCAACCGTACCATATCGATTTTGTGACAATCGGTAATGGTACGGTATTATACCGTACTGAAATTTTATGGTACGTTATTGGTAATAGATACCATTACCACAGTATTACCGTACCGTACCAAAAATATAAAATAAAACCCTACTTATATTAGCATTGTTGTTGGTGACTTTGATCTCTTGAGTTGGTGGAAATCAAACACAAAAGTGTTCTCAATTCTTTCACAAATAGCCAAAGATATCTTCGCAATCCTCACTTCTACTATTGCTAGTGAAAATACATTTAGGGTAAGGAGGAGGGTTGTGGACCCTTTTAGGGATTCTTGACTCCTAAAATGGTAGAGGCACTAGTGTGTATTAGTGATTGGCTTTAGGGCGGATGAAGTAAACTTTTACAAGGAACCAATGGAAGATATGCTTTAATTTTACAAGGAAATGGAATGAGTGGAAACAAGTAAGATATGCTTTAATTTTTTCAATAAATTTGTTATTAAAAGGTTTTCAATTTTAATGCTTCTTGCTACTAATATGTTTTCTTTGTTTGTAATGTAGGCTTGACACAAACTCAATCTCTTACAAGTTCAATACCTCCTCCAAAAGCTTCGACATCTCAAACTTGAAGAATTGATCAATGAATTTTACTTTTTGAAGTTTAGTTCCAATTTTCATTTGGTTAGAAACTTTAACTTCTATTTGTTTTGGTTCGTAACTTCTACTTGGATTGTAAACTTAATTTTCATCATAAATCTTAATGCATCATTTGAATTATTGTGTATGTGAATTGTGAATGATGAATAACAGATGAATTTAGACTACAATGTATGAGATAAAGGTACAAAAAAAAAAAAAAAAAAAAAAAAAAAGAAGTTTTGCACTTGAATTGTGTTAAAAAAAAAACAAAAACAGATTTTGTCCCAAAACAAAGTGGCAATTACCATTGTCATACCATGTCAACTGAACTATTTGACAATATTGAACTTTGTTATACCGAAAGTTTGGTATGGTAATGGTAATCAATTTTTGTTAAATAAAAAATTTGGTATAGTAATTGGTACGAGTGTTTTGGTACAGTAACTGTACTGAACCCACCCCTAGGAGAGGGTATCAAATATGTAGGGGATTGTCGAATTTTTTTTTCCAGAGATTATATTCACACATCCCAAATTAACTCTTGTCTTGATTTTACCCTAAAAAATTGAACTGGACAATAATTTCGGTTTGGTTCAGGTTTTAGCAAAAACCTGAACCAAATGGTGGGTGTTAGGTGTAAATGTACAAACTGAAAAGTGGGATGCATTTTTTTTGGAATTTGTGAAATTTGATTATTTTGTGACTGTCGAACTAGGACTGAAATGTTTGACATATAATATTTTGGGCCATTCTTAAGTCGTCATTCACTACAAAATTGAAAACTCTACAGTTTAAAATTTATTAATCAGACTCTGCATCCAGAATAGTGGTCTTGTGATGTTTGGCAATCTCTTCGTCGTTGTTTTCATTACTCAGAAGTATTTCAGTTCTAGTTCAGATCTGTATATTTCTCTGAAAAAAATCTTACACCAGCACAAATTTCTAATTGCTTATGGTTGATAATTTTCAACACATGTCAGACTACTGACACCTAACTCTATAGGTGGGAATCACGTCCTTCCATCCCAAAAGACATGGAGTTACTCATTATGCTGTTGTGATGGGGGTCATTTACAGTATTGTCAAGCAAGACTATATGATGCAGGTAATTATGCTCCCACCCTACAGTCCCATCATTCGTCTCCTATCGTATGAACTTTTAAAAACGTCCAATGTAACAACTTGATGCAAGAAAGGATCATTGCAACTCTTAATCTCAAGTCATGTTCCGAAGAATTGGAGAGCTACTTCCTGATGTGGTCATTGCGTCTATTCATAAATAACGAAATTATGGATTATGCTCGGACACTTATTCCCTAAATGTCTCAACATTGTTCTTGAATAGTCCAGGACGCTATAATGGTAGGGAATTCGTTCCACGTAAGTTGTTAGTAAAGAGTTAGATAAGTAATGGATCGCAACACACTGGGACTTGGGATTTGGGCGTACATTTGAAGAAGGAACAACACTTCAAATTTCCCAAAACATCTCAAATAAAATGCATATCGTGTTTGAACTTTGAACAAAACATCAATAAGCAGAAGCATGGATATGACAACTACAAAACAATTATCGTTATAGGTTCAGGTAGAAATTACCTACCGTCTAGCCAATCTATCTCGAGTTCCAGACAATAACGACAAATACCGTTCATCAAATAATAATGCAGATACTTTAAAACAATGTCACCATTGTCCACACGATAATAAACCACGACGAACGGAAACCCATACATTCATGGACTTGGACCAAAGAACAGAGATGAGGACATGGCCCTACGACGACGTTCCTCAAGGCTCAACGTGACTACATGAGAAGCCTCATCGCCATGGAGCATAACCACACTAAGGCCACTACCCAGCCACTTCGTGGGCACTGCAGCAACCATGCACATGTAGAAGGCTTAGGACTAGAAGGCCTACATCATGGCAACCTTTGCTGCCACCTAAGTAACCCAAGCGCTGGAAGCTTAGTTCTAGATACATAGAAGAGCAGCGAAGCTGGCCCAGTCAGTAGGAGAGGCCCACGGGCAGGAAGCTTGCCCATGCATTGCTAGTAGGCCACACGGCCCAAACGGCTCTAGCCTAATAGGTGGCATAAGCAGTCTATGCCCAGAGGCAACCGACCCCCGCATGAGCCCTATGCGCCCCAACATACGGCCCAGCCAACCAAGTAGGTTGGCTTACTCCACGACCTACTCTAGTAACTCAACTCGCGACCTAGACCAGTTCAACATCAGTTCAGGTGACTCGAATTCTAGACACCGGACCGACGAATGAACCAGGGATGTTTTCACCTCATTTTCCAAGTTTGCCCATTTCGGGCCTAAGTTTTGCACATGCATTTCACTACACTTCCACCACTCATGAAGACCCCCGTCATCCGAAATCTTTCACCCCGAATGACGAAATACACTTGTCCTGGCAAGTCGTCTATCTAACCACCGTCCTTGCGCAACAGACGACTCTGGTTAACGAAGAGGTGTCTAAAAGCAGGATAAACACAAATGATTGTGATTCTTTCCTATGACGTCCCAACAAGAATCCACTCAAAATGTCTTCACCTATCTCAGTGCGCAAGCGTTCATTCCCGACTTAGCCCATGAGTCAGTGTCACTCGCGGTTGGATTCATACTTTGATGCGCATTCCGAATATTCGACGTGAAGCATCCACTTGCGGGTAGGCCCATAAGGAGATTTTCCTATCAAGCATTGGAGTTGGCAGAACAATAAATAGAAGGAAGCATAAGAGCAGTTTGACCCAAGTTTAACTGGTAGCCCACGCCAAGCACGACAATGAGTAGCTCGCTTACCAGCTAGAAACGAATGACATACATTGCAACTGCAGCATAGACCAGCTGGTCAACACCAATGGCAGCCAGAGTTTCCACTACCACATTAGGGGAAATCCAAGAAGAAGTACAAAGGCTTGTAATAGAGCAATAATACTGATTCCAGCATATAAAAACTGTCGATGAAGCTTTTTGGAGAAATGTGGCCAACATGAGCTGGTTACCTTTGATTGACATGATCAAGCAGACGAAACCACCCTAAATACACTGACAAATGCAAAGATTACTTCTGTTCTCACGAACATAGCAACTCAACTCGATAGCGTGCTAAGGGCAGACGAATACTAAAAGGACGCAACAACCCAGCCTATAGGAAAGTTCCACCAACCACCAGGGAACGAAACATGTCTTGTCTTCATCACCCATAACAGTTCAATGATAGAGCAGCACATCGCCAGCCACCAAGCACCATAGACCTAGTGGCCTAATTCTTCCTGTTGCGCCCAACCTAGCCTAAGCCAGCCTTAGCTTTGAGGCTCATGGCCTCACCTGCCTACTCTACGGTTCCTAACTGTGCCTATCTTAGACCACGGCTCTTCGTTGCACCAACCTATGTTCTGCGGCTCCTAACTGCGCCAACTAGGCCCGCGACACTATATGCTTCAAAGCATCCAACGACGAAAAAGAACACGAGGCTTTAACCAACAACCTTCTACTAGAGAATGACTTAATGACAAAGAAGTTTGCAATCCATTCAAATTCTCAGTTGATCATCAACCAAGCCTTAAAAGAGCACACAATGAAAAATCTCGTGCCCAGTGTTGGAAATGTGCCCTAAAGCCCATCATATGATGATACTTTATGGACATTTCACATGTTAAACTAATCTTATTTAATATAAAGGGTAAAGATTATTGTTTAAAGCCGTCTCATATAAATGTTACATGTTTGAACGATAAGTCCAAGGAATATGTAATTGGGAGAATATGATTTAAAGAAGTTAGATTCAGGAGACCATTCTCTTTCGTATACACATCCTAAACGTTCATGATCATAGGATTGCCAATTAGGCATTGACAATCTGTTAAGATCAGTACGTGCTATGTCTTCTCTTAGAGAGAGTGACTGGTCTCGAGTCATTGGTGTGACTAACACCAAGACAAGCATGTAGGTGCTCAATAGAGAATGAGTCCACTTAACACGATCAACAAAGAGTTCTTATACTCATGTCACATGAAAACTCA